TCAGATGATAAATACAACTTTGAAGCTTGTAACGACATAATTACGAAACACACACACACACACACACACACACACACACCTATTTGATCATTTGCTCCGCTAATCAATCAGATCGATGGATTCCAGAGTATTTTTCTCAAAGATGATGACTCCGTAACAGTCAGTGGGCACCACTTAACAGCCAATCAGAATGAGAATATGTTTCACATGTGACTTATTCAAATTGTGAGTGATTGAGTGACGGATGAAGGTTGTTTAAGAGACAATTTCGGAGAAGAAAAAGTTTGAGAGTGGCGCTCTGAAAAGGAAACCTAACACTGATGTCAACTGAGAATGACATTCTTCGTGAGATGGATTTTAAGAACATCATAAAGGCTTTTTCGGAAGCACTGCTAAAGAGGTAAGGCAATGCTGCACTATTCATTGATTCCCAGTAGCCTGCAGGTTTAAATGTGTTGTGCATCGTTTTACATAACTAGGTTTGTGTTAATCCACCGGAGATAATGATCATTCTCATCTACTGATACCTGGCATTGAGGCCATATGTTGCTGTTCATGGTGCTCAATTAGTGGTGTGTGTTTGTGTGTGTGTGTGTGTGTGTGTGTGTGTGTGTGTGTGTGTGTGTGTGTGTGTGTGTGTGTGTGTGTGTGTGTGTGTGTGTGTGTGTGTGTGTGTGTGTGTGTGTGTGTGTGTGTGATCACAGAGCCTACCGAGGCTATAAATGACTTTGATTTGTTGTTTTCAGGGCCTGATGGCAGGTTAAGGAGGGCTTGGGGATAGGGTCTGCAAAATTAGTTAATTTTTTGGGATTGACTGGATGCTCTGACCGGTCCACTTCCTGTCTGGCGCTATGCAACGCCTCGCGTCGCGTCGAAAATAGACTTGCATCCTATTTTAGCGGAGCCCAGCGCCGAGACGCTTCTGGGACGCTTCTGGGACGCTTCTGGGATGCTTCTAGCCGTAACGCAGCGCGTCTGGTGGAATAGAACCCATTGAATAGAGTGGCCGCGATCGCTGTGAATGCCGCGGCGCAGACGGACCAGGTGGAATCTAGGGGTTAGGGGAAAAAGTTGATACTGTGTGCTTTGATGCCAAAGAGTTGTCTTCCACGATGTTCATCTATTGCTCCTTAATGAGACACGATGTAGATGGAAATGGCTTAAACCCATATATTTCACTGACAGCCATGATCCTAAGTTGGCTGTGACATCTTGCTTTCCTGCCATGCATAACTCAGAGCGAGTGAGGGAAAGTAAATAGGGGAAGTTGTTAGGACAAATGATCATCAGTTTGTCGAGAAATACATACTTATGATGTTCTTTCTTGTTTTATGTCTGTTAAGACGGCAATGGAGAATTGTTTTCCGTCAAGAGAAATCAAAGAAGAAAGCCGTGCAGAACACTGTCTCCACCATGTCAAGCAAACACTCTCATCAAAGCAGGTGAGATAGGTTTCCTACTTTAGGTGGAATTACATAAAAATATACTTTGGTGTTCATCTAGAATATACATATATATATACACCGGTTAAAACACAAGCATACTCATACATATGACATTAGTTACTAAGCCTGCTTTCCTGAAAAATAGCCTATAGTTGGAACAACAGAAAGTTCTTTTAGTTCTCAGATGATAGCGTCTGTTCACAGTATTTACGGATGAAGTGTGTTGTTCTAAAATTAGTTTCTTATCCAGGGAGAGTCCAAGATGTTTGACACACTGCTCCGTCTTAACTGCTTTATTACTGATGCAGTTTGTGTACTTTGTTGCGTGTAGGACTTTGACTGACACATTTGATTTGTTGGAATTGAACGCAGGCTTCAGCCAAAACATTGCCAGAGGCAAGACTGCTGCCTGAAACTCAAACACGCCATATGGGATTTCTATGTGGACTTATCCAGTGCCTTTATGGTCCACTTGCTCAGTGGTGTGCAGCTGGTTAGATTATGTTATGGAGATTGTGTTTGTGTCATTCAAGAGAATGGGCTGCCAAGCAATCAAGTCCTGGAATGGGAATACATTCACCAAGAGATCAATTAACAAAACCACCAGATTGTAGGAACGTATACCTTTAGTATTGATGGATAAAAGGCTAAATAACACAAAAACGTACCTTTTGTTTGTGGGCGGTAAGATAACCATGGATTTTTTCTGGCTGGAGGAAGGTGGCGCCACCGTGCACGGCAAAGCGAACATCCAGCATCTGCACCTTCACATCCATTAGGCTAAATATGTTGATATCATCAGGTGGAACGTAGAGCATCTTAGACAGGAAGTCCGCCAGCAGCTCGTAGCGGCTCCGCTGCTTCCCTCTCAGTTCAATGAACTCCTTTGCTGTGATGTCTGAGAAACACACATACACACAGGATTGGAGTCTTAGACTGTATAGAAGTGGCCTCATTATTTCCACCCCCGCTCAAGGATAAATCCAATTATTTCCAAGCTGGGGCCAAGTGCTGAACTCAAAAACAGTCCAGAACACTGGAGACTGGAGCAATGATGATACATTATTGAAAATGGCTCACTTGATCTGTCAACATCTTTTGTTTGGTGATTTGTGTATGTGCTGCATGCCAGTTTATGTTTGTGTGTTTGTGTGTGTGCTTGCTGAAGAAGGACATGATTGGGGGCTGGATTTCAATACCAAACTGTGCCAGTTAAAGGTAATTAAACTCTTGACAATTTGTGGATCGATTTCAAATCTTACTCCACAGCAGGCTCTTGAGGAAGAAATTAATTCTGCCTCTTTTTATTTCCTAAAAAAAGACCAGCATGTGTGGTAGCATGTGGAAGTTAACAAAAAACAGCTTCAAGCTTCATCTATAGACCATTGGGCTTTTCCAAGATTATGAACAGGCTTGATGTGTCAGGGTTAAGATAAGTCAAAAATCCTTCAGAAACAAGCTTGGGTCATATTACAAGAATAACCAAGAACTACCTCTACAGTTTCTCCAATCTGGGTCCATCTTCAGTACCAATGTTCCACATAAAACAGATTCCAGGTTAAAATGTTCCCTCCTTTACTACTTCCAGACATGGGGATCACAGTGGTATTTTCAGACTTGCTTGATGGTTGCGAAAACGTGGAATTTAGCAGCAGTAGATACAGCTAAAAAAATGAAAATACCCCTTTTTCACTGTAAAATCAGTTCCGTTTTAGTTCCATGATGGGAACTGGTTTTTAAAGGTCACCTATTATGGAAAATCCACATTTTCATGTATTTTATACATAAACATGTTTCCCCTCTTTGTAAAGAAATTCTGAACGTTTCAGGAATTTATTTTTGAAAATGAGCTGATCAGATTTTACCCACTTTATGATGTCATAACGATTTTTTGGCTTTTGTAACCATTAGCCAATAACCAACCAAGGTAACCCCCCCACTTTATCACCTGAATCTCCTCATAGAGCACCATTGTGTTCTTTTTAACCAAATCTCTCTCAGAGGGGCGTGGCACCTCATTTTCATCTAAAGTAACAGACAAAGAATCAGCACTTTTAAAACAGGGCTGAAACAGAAGATATTATGGGATGCTACAATGATCTGTTTGGTGTTTCAGCCAAACACTTCAGAGACATGTTTTGTATATATCTGAGACCTATACTAAATAGATGAAAAATAGTATAATAGGGGACCTTTAAGTAAAGCACCAGTTTGCTTTTCCACGGACCAGAGCCCACAAGGAGCAACGCCAGTGTGAAAATCCCTTACAACAACGACAATGGCGGACTACATTGGAGCCGTTCTCATGTTGTTAATAAGCGTAAAAAGCCAGATTGAATTGCAAGAACGATTTATCTAACGTTATACTCTTCTCTAGCTCTCTGTGCTGGGGGAGCAGATTACTAGTGCTTGAGTTGAACCAATTTCCAGAGCCAATCAAGCATCGCCTCCAAACTGGCCCTGAAACCATCTTGGTGGAAAAGGGGTAAAAGGCAAAGCCTCTGAAATGGCAATGGCAAAGCTAATAGAGTGTATTTGTTTAAGGAATGAGGTCCTAGGTAAAAGTTTCGGTATAAAGTTTAACCAAGTTGAGTTTATAGATGCCTGTAAGTGTTGGCATTGGCATTGGGTTCCAGTCTTACCCACACAGCGGCCTTGGAAGCTTCTTCACTTTGAATGGGGTGATGTCACTTTTCGCCAAACTGCATTGTGGGAATCAGAGCGGAGTAGGCTGCAAAAGTTGAGCAATGTTCAACTTTTGAAGCCTCGGCAGAAGCGTCAGCCAATCAAATCCCGTTTAGGCAAATCTGCCAGTACAAGCGCTAGCCAATCAAACCGCGTGTATGCTGGGAGAGGCACACCGCAGGTCATTTCCTCATATTCCAAAAAATGGAGGAGAAATGAATCATAGCGGTAGGGAATCACCCGGTCTTGTACGATCAGTCCCTATTCACCTACCGGGACACAAACCGGAGGAGCCGGGCATGGAGGGAGGTGGCAGAGATAGTGGGTAAAACTGGTAGGTTTTCGCCTGTTTGGGGAGTTTATATGCAGTTTACTTCGTAAACTGTATGTCGGGGGCGGGAGATTCATGTGATTGGTTGTTGGTCGCATTGCTTGCATAAACTCCCACAAGCTTCAGACACGCCCACCTCCAAGCTTTTTCCAAAGCCGCTGTGTGGACGAGCCGTTAAGCCTGTTTCATACTCCCTTAACTCCAGCATGAGCCACGCTCCTTAGGGGTAATATTTTCTCAAAATCACTCGCCCAACAGCGTCTGTATCCTTTTATTTGCACTGATAGGCCATTAACACCGCATCACTCTCCATCTCTTTAGACATTGTACCGACTGTGCTGCTGTGACAACATTTCCATTAGGCAAGGACATCAATGGATACACAGCCGACACAAACCATACTCAGCAAGATAGCTTATCCAACAGCTTGAACAAAAAGCTGGTAAACTCTTAACAGTGTAAAGGTCCTTACACACCAAGCCGATTTTTGGCATCGATAGATGTCGATAGATGTCTGGCAGTCGATGAGCGTCCGGTCGTCCTACACAGATTGGTGTGTCCTGCCCCGTTGTGTTTTTTCGGCCGTGCCGACACCTTCCGCCGCCGATTCAACATGTTGAATCGGGAGGCTGTCGGTCGGAGGCCGTCGGCTAAAGAAATCAATCTGATTGGCTGTTCAGCTTAGCGAATCTGTGCATGAGAAGCGAAACGGAAGTGAAGGACCCAAACAAACTATTAAGAAGGCAAATCTGAGATTTCATTTAACTCCAGCTCTCGACACAGGTTCGGCAAAGCCCCATGAGCTTCTCGCTGTAGAGTGAAAATGGAACGCACACGCGATTAGTTGTTTGTTTATATCACGCAGTCTGTTCTTCTTCTCTCTGTGTATCAAGCAGTCTGTCTTCCGGTTGTTGCCTCTTTTGAATGACAAACACACTACCGCCGCCTGCTGGTAAGGAGAGTTATTGCCACTCACGCATGCGCAGTTCGTACGTGCTACTTGGCCGTCGGCTGAAGTCTTTGCGGTGTGTTCCAGTGCGACTTTTGGCCAAGACGCAGGAGACGTGAGGCGACAGAACAGTCCTGTTCTGTCGGGACGTGTTCTTTGGTGTCAGTTTAGTGTGTAGGCCCCTTAAGATGTGTTATTTTCATATGATATCTACATTTAGAAATAAATCTCACTGCCACCCAACAGAGTGATAAAGAAAGGAGTCCTCACACTAGAAAAGGAAAATGTTACTACTTCTGTTTCCTTGTCTTTAATTCATTGTTTTGTTGATTGTGTTTTTTGTTAGATGCCTAAAATAAGGACTGTGTTTAACACGCTTAAGAGATTTTAATGTTTTGATCAACAACATGAAAAACATTAGTTAATACTCCACTGGTGAATGTCTGAAGCTTCTGTTATGAAAACAGCAGTTGCTAACAAGGGACTAAATAAGACTACTAACTGTCATCTCGCCGAACATTAGCCGCCTTTAGCTTAGCGGTGGTGATGTGAAGTCATGCGACCGTGATCTAGTTCCTATGGCCTTAACTAAGCTTTTGTCTTCTGCCAATTACATTAACGAATCCAAAATAATAAAAGTCTTGTTATACGTGGAGATATTCCTGCTGAACAAAAACATTGATAAATCCCATTGCTTCCCCATTGGGCTGTCAGAGCAGAGCACCAACGTTACTCTGAGATATTCCTAGTGTTAACATAAATGAGGTCCCTCCCTAATGTGATCCTAATATAAGAGATGAAGGACAAAGTGCACCATGCTTATTGTTTGTAAGAATACAAAGCTTAATCTAATATGAAGCTTCAGCAGTCTCAGTTAACAATTCAAATGGGTTTTAGTCTTGTATGAATCAATTTCCCTCTTTATAAATGCGTGGAATTGTGTGCTAAAATAGGCACAACTAACTGTTATCTATCATCAAAATAAGAATAGTAAGGGATCTCTCCTAGACTATCATAGACAATTGCAACAAGTAATTGACAAAAATAAATTCTATATATAATAGATTTTTTTTAATATGTTTTGTTTATATATTATTATAAACTATATCCAAAATTAAACTTTAAAATTCCATTATTTCATAATTCCCAAACACACATTTCAGCTATTGTATGCATACAGTTCATTATCCATTTATGAAGTTTGCCTGGCATGCACCAATAACCAAATTAAGAGTTGTGACAAAGTGAAAATTAAAATAATAAAAAATTGAAAATATTAGATATTTAACATATTTATTCACACATATTGGAACTTATGAAGTTATCTTTTCTATAGACTAGAACCAGCGATTTGGACAAAATACAGTCTGGGGCGTTACGTTTTCGGAAAGGTTTGTTTGTACGTTTGTCAGGAGGACTACAGAAAATGTATATATGACCCAAAACTATTCTGTAATCCAAGGTAAGTCAAGTTAATCATGAATTATTGTGTATACCTTAGACAAAACAATCTGCAATTAATACAATTAAGCAAAGAAACATTTATGTTTCATCTGAGGGCCAACTACATTCTGCAAACAATTATGCTAGTCCGATTGTGTTTTGACCTGTGTCGTCGTTATTGTGATGCAAAGGCAAAGAAAAGGCTTGGTACGAGAACATCAATAAACCCCTCTTAGAACAGCTGAGCTGATTCAATACTTAATTTCACAGTCAAACATTGTCTTTTCTTCAAAAATATTTATTTGAAGATAACTACTGATTACCTCTCAGGTTCACGTATCTATCAAAAGTAGAACTGCCTGGGAAGACACCGCGGGGATGGGACGGTTCGGTAAAATCTTCTATTTTTCTTTTGTAAAAATGGGTCAAAGTATTTCAAAACTCTATAACAAATGTTGACTAAAGAGTAACAGTAACAAAACAAAGACCATTATGGTGTTTTTCTTTTTCATTATTTGTTTGAAACCACGAGCCTACAGGAGTGAGTGGGTCTGTGCACCCCCACCTCGACTCCACTGAAGCCTCTGGGAAGGAGAAGGCAGATGTGAGTTGTGAGGTTGGATCAAAGCCAGATGCAAAGGCTGCCACTCTGCGTTAGGAGTTACTACCCTCTCCCCCCCAGCCCCCCTCCCTCCTGACTGTCTGTCTGTCTGTCTGCCTGTGTCCTTGTTTCTCCCGCAGGACTGAATGATGGGAGCTGACATTAGCCCGGATCCTTCTCGCTGTATCCGCTGAGCCCATTCTGAGCCCCATGTCTTGTCTCCTAATGCATAGGCTCTGTCTGCCTCTCCACACTCACACATCCTCTGTATATGTGTGTTCTTTCATTCTCTCTCTGCGAGAACCACTGTGATTCTCAGAATGTTGATTATGAAGACATGTTTGTGACAAAGGACAGTTTCTGCTAGCCCTTTGAGTCAGTGCGTCAGTTAAAGAGGCCCTGTTATGCTTTTTGTGGATTTTCCGTTTCCTGTATCGTGTTCTATAGGTTGTTGTGCCTGTAAATGGTCTGCAAAGGCTAACATCACAAAGTTTCTCTCCCACACACTCCCCCCTGCCTGAAACGCCTCCATTGGATAAGATAAGATATACTTTATTGATCCCAAATTGGGATTTGTTTTCGTCACAGCAGCATGTCAAAACAAGGCATTGCACATCGTTTGAAAAATTAAAAGAGTAGAAAAATAAGGGCCAAATTACAACTAACAAAATGTAAATGTATATTATAAGTGTGCAAGGAATAGCATATTAAACTAAATTTGAATATAAAGTGTACAGTGTGAAAAATAATTCAGGTTATAAACTCCTTTGGACTTGTTTACTTCTGTAACATAGTGACATCACTACTTGTGCTTCCATTGTCTAGCGCTCCAACACTTTGTATGTGATAGGCTAAGGGGCGGGACATCTCTAAAGCGGTTGACTAATCTCAAACAGACGCGTTCAGCTAACCAGCTAATCAGAGCAGACTGGGCTCTGGTTTCAGATAGAGGGTGAAAAGTGTGATGCAGCTACAGGCAGCATCAACCTGGCATAATATGTCCCCTTGTGTTAAAGGACCATTATGTTTGCCAAGAGATTTCTAAAAAGTCATCATCCCTTCATCACAAACCACGCCAGCCGGCTGCATGGAGTGAACCCACTCAACAAGTTCTTGTGATTTATTTCCCCCTGAGCTCTATGAATTCACATCCAAGCGAGTGTTATGTCGACATTTCTCGACTTTTTGTTTACCACCTTTCTTCAACTTTCCATCAATATTGATAGGAAGAGAGAGTGTGAGAGGGTGGGAGCTTTAATCTCGGCAAGGCAGACTTAACTAGTGCCGTCTTTGTGTATGCTCATTGCCTTCCACATTTATTCTTGATAAGGGATTTACAATGTCGGGGAGGGTGTAAATAATGCTATAAGTAGAATATGTTCATAATCCCCGAGACTGAGAATCAATGAGACTGTTTACGCCAAAGCACCACATAAAAAAATGTAATCCTGGAAATGGTTTCTGTAAAAAAAGATCTTCCGCAAACACAAACGCACAAACATGGACACCTCAGGATGATCTCAGTCATTAATCCTTCATATTGCATTTTGCATTTTGCTTTGAAACCTACAAAATAAAATGTTTTTTGGTGAGTGTGCTTATTCTTGAACTGCAGGTAAAAAGTCCTTTTGCTCTTCCACTTTCAATATGTGTAGAACCTGGGTACATTAAACCAAAACCATGTGTCAGTTACAGGTTGTTGACAAACTTAACCTTGTTTTGTTCAATTCAGTTCTGGAAATAGTTCCATTCGCAAAAAAAAAGTCAAGAGCAGTGGCTTTCATTTTGATTTCCGTATTTTCATCATAAACACACAATTTGCTCGTCTACAATTCGCCAATGGATTCAATTGGCTTCCACAAATATTGGAACGTGGGCGCCAGCTGTTCTCCACAATATTGTCTCTGTGTTTGGTGTGCATTCATTTACCTCTGCTCCGTTTCCAGAAGCAAATCAAATCCTTTTATCTACTTATATGAGGCTTGACTTTCCCTTCCTCCCTTTCCTTTTCCTTCCCTCCCTTCCTCTCGTCTTTGGAGTGCCCACCCCCACCTCTGCTTCTATTTCAATATCTCTGAAATCATACAAATCTTTCAGCCATGTCCCATTTCTCTAAACTTGCAACCAATTCTGAGCAGACAGCCGATGCGCTGTACATCAGGTAATGATGGATGCAACATGAGAGGAGAATGTGCTGCCTGAGCAAAACCTCTCTACTAATTATTTTGCCAACATAAGTAACGGAAACAGGCTTTTCTGTGCGGGCACCTACGGCAGCTGGGATCCCAGGAGTCGGGGATTAATAATGGGTGTAATCTTTTGCAAAGGTACACTCTTTAACGGAGAGTGTGGCAGTTCTGTGAAACACGGCAAACAACCAGAGCAAACAGTAATCAGTACTCATTCATTTCCTATGACTGGAGACAAGTAAGCAAATAACATTCTCCACTCCCTCAGCAGTACTAAGCTCAGCACAGTTTTATTTTTAAATTACTATTGCTTTAGGTCCTACCTATTGCTGTGATAGCAACAAAGGTTCAAACACTTGAACTGAATGACAACAATATTGTTATACATAGGAGCAGCAGACAAACAAGTAGAAATCCAAACTTTTAATTATAAGTCAAAGACATATTTGTGCCTATTTGGAAGTATTACGACGTACAGTAGAGTCAGTATTTATTGGGAGAAACGTCTGTCTCGCAGTAAGTTATTTTATAGGTTCAGAACTGTAAATGAATTGCTATTCATAGTATTCAGATATGATTTTTACCAACATTGAGATTTGGCCTGGCCCTGAAAAAACCTGATCTGCTCAATATTATAAATATTTTTAAAAAACAGTTTCCCTGAGTCATATATAATAATTGCAGAGGTCGTCTGTGATCTCAATTCAGCGCTAATCTGTCATGTTGTCACCTATCAAGTAAGAATTCCACATTAAATGACCTGCCATATTTCTTAACACACAGAGGTAATATTATAATATTAGTCCTCTGCAATATAGCTTGTAATTTCTCGTCGTATGACTTGTTTTCCCGCAGTTTTTTTATTCCTCTCTTAGAGAGAATATTATTATGGAATAAAGGCCTCAAATGGAAGGTTATAATATGGTATAATTATAAATGAGCAATTAGCACAATTAGGCTGCAAATTCACATCTCTCTACACAGCATGTAGGCTTATTTGCACCAGCAAGAGGTGCAAATATTATAGAATCATAATCAGGCCTATATAATATTTATAATATTAAATACAATTTCAAAGTCTCACAAAGTCCCCTGGTTATAGTATTATGATCAAATAGGGTTATGGCATTTTATTTGGACTTGAAAGATATTTGACAATTCTTTCTTGAAGTTTCAACCACATCTTGAAATCTTTCACCTCATTGTCTAAGGTCATGTTTCTGGCTTGTAAGCTACCTTAATAACAACTAACAATGGAACTTAAGTCACATGATATCCTGGGCTGTGGTGGTGCCTAACATCACACTGTGGGGGACACTGTAGAAGGGACTAGACCAAGTTAACCTAAGATAACCCTAACCCTAAACCACAGACCTTTTCTGACCAGACAGAGAGACAGATGTGTGTGTGTGTCCCTGCAGAGTTAATCTTACCTGCCAGGCGCAGAGACGCTGAGTTGTAGATGGCCTCGTCTCGCAGCTCCCTCACGTGCACAGTGATGGTAGAGACAGCATCTGGCCAAACTCCATCCGACACACGGACCTGGAACTCGTAGGCGCCTGTGGGGGCGTTCTCCTTGATGATCAGGAAGCCTGTTCGCTTGTTCAGGATGAAGTAACTGAGGGAAAGAAGAAACACAGACACCAGTATCAGAAAACATTTTTAGATATTTGATTTGACATGTGTATTGGACCCTACTTATATAGAGCTTTTCTGTTCTTCGTTTTGGTCTTTTGCCTTGTTTTGACTGGCACAGCCAATAAAATACTTTGATTTAAAGAAAATGTCTTCTGCATTTGGCTTCTACGTACAGTACTCTGCCATCCAGCCCCGACACAAATGTTGTTAGTAGTTTGTTGATTAAAAAAAGATAATAATAATTGTACTCAAGTGCTTTTACATATACAAACAAGCATTCACACAGAAGCAGCTCCATTCGCACATTGGCCAGAGTAACTTGGGTTAAGTATCTTGCCCACGAATACATTGACATGTTGACTGGGCCTTCTTCTACCATCTACCTTCTGAGCCAAAGTAGCCCTAAATCAATATCAACCACATGGGTCAACCCGCAAAAAATGTGCCTTTTACATGATCAGACAGCCAATGTGCTGAGACAAATCGTTATCCACTTCAAGCATTGACTAAAATGGCAATCTGTTACACTTCAACACTTCCTTTAAGAAGTATTTACTAATAACAAGACACACTGAAGTGCGCAGGGACGTCTGAGGTCATTCAAGTTGCCACCACATGTGCCTGGCTGCCGCATAACCCCTGAGGGCCGATAACAATGCGACCAGTGTCCAACACTGTGTTTGTAACATCTAATTTCACCACAGGCCAACACTGCCCAGTTATTTTCTAATGGCTCGGAACCTGACAGGGTCAAGTTGCTGAATCTATAGGACTGACCGCTGGCGTGGTACTGATTAGTCATTAGGCTGCTACAGACGTGTCAGTGAGACTGCGGAGACCAATCATTTCAGTGATTTGCCCATCAAAGGTCGACATGCTAACTGGATAAGTGGAATGACACACTCAGTATGACTGCGTGCTTATTGTCTAAGCTCCAGAGTCAAACAGATTATATTGTATTTTAAGCTCTCAAGTGGTGGCTCCCCATGGGTTGGTGTCACAGCACGAATTGCAGCCTTCTACCCATTCATTATTGAACAAATAAATAAATAAAGCTCAAATAAACTCAAGGCCGACAACACATGTAAATATTATACATAACAGTGTTGTTTGACTCACAGAGGCTCAGCTGTTGGGTTGAATTTTGAGTATTCTTGCACTGCAATAAAAGAAGACTGTATGTCTAGATTGTACTGACCCACTAGTAGCAATACAATTTAGCCTCTTAATGGGCCGGTGGCAAGGCATTACACATTGCTCCTTTAACCATGCCAGGTTCCTATTTTGTAAAAAGCCAGAATACATTTTTTTACATTAAAAAGTAATAGTGATGTCAAGATCCCCCCCAAAATGTGTCAAGAAATCTTTTAATTGGGTTTCTTTCAATACCATGTCCCATTCAACATTGATCTGTATTTGATCTGACGCACCTTATTTTCACAAGTAACTTGATCTAAGTACAGGAGATCCTGGTTAAAAATATTACGTTTAAAAGATTAAATGATGGATAAAGTCAGATTAAAATGTAATCCTGGAGGTTCAGACTGTTCAAGTTGATGGAATGAGTTGTTGGAACCATAGAAACATTGTACTGGTAAGGTTTGGGATATCTCTGGTCATCATTGAAGGGAATCTGGAACTTCTCACAATTTTCCAAAATATTTTCTTTGCCTGCAGACATGATGTGCCTCCAATCTCTGCTTGCAAAAGAACACTTTCTCAACACAAATCAGCGATCAGCTAACATTTTGTATCGAAATGCAATTTGACCATTTTGTTGAACTGGTTGCAAGCCCTGACAGAACACAAGTTATGATGTGCATTAGTCTAAACATGAAGATAATACCTACATTGAGGAAAATAATTTGACTGTCCAAAACAATTTGACTAATAAAGATATGAATAATAGAACAAAGGAGAACACATGTCTAACAGTCCCTACACCTGTTGCAACCGTCCAAGATGAAGACATAACCAAACAAAAACACTTTAATCGCCGTCAGCCATGTGTTCTGATTCATTTTGTGTCTTTACTCTGTTTTCTGCTGTAAACAGATTGCCCCCTGGGACAATAATAGAAAGTGAGCAGAGACGATGCATTAGCGAGAGAAAGGCAAGGGTAAAATGAAACTGACTCATAGGCACCGAGACATGCAAGGAAGCAATTTCACTTGGTCCTTGTCTCAATGCTCCCCTTGTACAGTAAATGAGCTCATTCAAGTGTAATTATAGAGCCGAACCAAGGCACAACCTTGGCAAATCAAATAATAACCCCCTTGTAGACGAGAGACGCATTAAGTCATTGTGCGGCATGTGATGGAGAGGATAGATTACATCTTATGTCGAGCACTTAATTTCAGGTTTCACTAAAATAATATTTCTCTAATATAACTCGTAAAACTTTCCGATTTGGCACTTACCAATTTGCTGAAGCCTCCTCCTACTTAAATTAGTACTCACTTATATTCCAGTCAAAGCAGGACATTTGCTATAAAACTGTTGTCCCAAAGGTCTACACTGGGCTGGGGAAAAGGGCAATCAGTTACACTGCTCCATGTGCATGGAATCGGATGCAAGATCAAATGAAACTCAGGGAGGTGGGCTTATTTGTGTTTTTGTATTCATTGTAGCTGAAGCTGCAGCGCGTTTCTCCTAATCTAAATGTTTGTGCTGCATGACAATACTAAATTGCAATAATACAACACAGTCAAAACGACTACAATGCAGCATTTTACAATACAAAACATTTGAAAAGTACAACAAGTGTGTTTTTTCTGATGCAACACAATGAATATACAGCTCTGGACAAAACTAAGAGACCACCTTCAATTTCTTCTTAAATATCAATCTCTACAGGGAGTAGTAATCAGCAGCGAACCGCTTCAACACGTGTATTTCGGTTTATTCACGGCATTAATTTTGTTATTCTACAGTATTGTTGTTTTATAGTTATTTGTTAATGTATTAACCCAATTTGTATTCTTTGAAATTAAAAAAGGATATTGCATTGTGTTTGTTACTTTTGTTGCAGTTGTATATGTCTATGTCATGCTTTTATTTTGAAGGAGAGTTAGCGCTGTTGACAGGAAGTTGCTGTTGCTATGGAAACAACGTGACGGAGATTAACGGAGAAAAGTAATACCTACATATAAAGACGGAGAAAGTAAACGATAACGTTTATGGTCAAGTGTTAGTAACCCCGAAGAGGCACAAGCTCTTACGTTGATATTAGAGTTTTCAATAAATTAAAAAAAAAAAAATATCCGAATAACGAAATTGAAACCCGAATAATACTCCAACGAACGAATATTCGGATATTTGGGTACAGCCCTAGTAAGTATTCTGCTCTCCAGCCCTGACAAAAATGTTGTCAGTAGTTTGTAGATTTAAAAAAGATAATAATAATATAACTCAAACACATACCTTTCAATTGTAAAACCAGATAAACTGATAGTTTTGCATTGGTCTCTTAGTGCTGTATATAAAGAAGAACAGAATAAGCTATAATCTGTGCCTTTTTGTAAAAACCCAGTACAGCTGGGCAAGAAACCTACTGTATGCCTAAAATTCCAAAATACGAAGGCTGTTGTAAAATGTTAATCCCTCATATTACACCAAGTCCTCTACGGGCTGAACTTTGACTTTAAGAGAAAAGGGAGAGACATTTTCACACAGCTAAGTTTGTAAGATGACGAAGAAGGTGTTAGTAGGGGATGAAATGTAATTATATGGGATTGTTAGCACCTGTGTGTGATTGTGCAAGTTTGTTAAAGTGAAAAATGTATCTGCTCATCTATAGCAGGTATAAGACACGTTGGCAAAAAGGGATAAACAAGGAACAATAAGGAATCGACCTGAGCAGGAACATTGGACAGGATGGTAATGGAGGAAAAGGGTGATAAAAAGATGGTAAATAATTGAAGACTCTACAGAATTATCAGGCTGATTTAATGAGGGAGTTGCAGCGTAATCAATACATCAGGGACGCTGCTCCGTACTTGATTGCTGACCACATTGCAAACAAGGAATAAGGACTATGATTAGAAGTTGTAGCCAGCAAAATAAATCTGTGAATAGCAGTACAATGCAGTGGTTCTACAAAGTTGGAGGGCTTCCTTAGTACATAACTCTCAAGAATTGATTGGATGAGAAACAAAAAAACATATGGCCTTCCTCTTCCGAAGAGATATTTCACTCAGGGGCGCTGTTGCGCTGCATTATTTAAAAGTCTGAATCAATCACGACAGAAAAACATGTAATATAGACATGGCGGTGAGATTAGCTGGATTTAACATGGCTCAGGGCTCGATGCAATGTGTGACTCTGTGACCTCCATCGGGTTCGCTTGACAAAGTGTAGATGGTGACAGAGAGAGCAGCACATACAGATGCAGCTGCCAGTAGATCCCATAAAGTGTGATATATTTTTGTTTTAGGGATCTGTCTTTGTGCCTTTTCTTTGGCCTGTTACAGAGATACACTCATCGGTATCGGAGAAGGAAGTATAGTCCAGCAAACCTGGAGACAAAGACCCTGCCGTCTTGCTTTACTTGCAGTTCTGATTGGAAAATACTGATCAATAAAAATGAATTTCCCTTAGCTCACTTGGTAGAAATAAACGTAGACTTGAGGATGCACGTTCGAACCCGGCCTGTTGTCCTTAATGCGTCATCCACTCTATCCCCTTTAAAATGAATCCCTTCTAAAGCCCCAAATAAAAAAATGAATTTCAACAAAACAAATGTTTTTAACTACACGTGATTGGCCCTTCTGATTTAGGCCAAAACAAAATGTTCCTTAAGCACTTTCAGCAATTATTTTTCCCTGTAGCATAGTGTTGTTATGTGAGGAACCTGAATGGTTAATAAAGATTCCTATTACTTACCTTGGCAAATGTCCTTCAAACACGTACGTCTTGTTGTCCCAGTCATCGGGGTCGGGGGAGTAGACCTTTCCAAGCACCGTGGTTGGCATACGGCCTGATAAAAGACAACAAACCAGTATTAAGTGACCATTAACGATGTGCATATACATTCTTATAGCAATTATAATATATACATATACTGGATTTCAAGTTAGGAGTAGGTGTTAATTCCAGGGTAGGAGTAGGTGTTAATTCTCAGCATCTACATGTCCGAGTATTTAAGTCTGTGCTGCGTGGGTTATACCTGTAATACCTGAATTAGCATAAGCTTTGAAAATGATGCCAATACACATATCCCACACACAGAAAACAATGAAGAAAATGTATTAATGCCTTTTTAATAAAAATGTACATATCTCATGCTACTTTCACAATCACCATCTAGCAGAAGGCAATGCATAACAGGAAACACTAATAAAAGGTAGAAATCCTGTGCAAATGTTAAACATTAAGAGCGGTTCTACTTCAAAATGAGACTTTGTGATGAGCAGAAGGCAAATGATAGTCATCTCTTTTGACTATGTGAAGCTAGAAATCACTTCTGGGAAATACATAAGGGAAATGTCAATTATGTTTGGTATTTATATAAATAAAAAGCCAAATATACTACTTGGAAAAACACCAGATAAGATCACGAAGGATGATTTTTCAATTTTTCGGCAGATTCAATACAGTGGGTTAAGTCTTACTTATTTAACAGAAAACAGTGTGTTTTGGTCAACGGTGCCAAATTGCCCTACCTTGTGAACCCTGTTGGGGTTCCACAAGGTTCCATTCTTGGACCATTACTGTTTTCTCTGTACATTAAGGACTTGCCTAATGTATGTCCTGATTTGAATGTACAAATGTATGCCGATGATGCGGTCATCTTTGTACAGGGGGAACATACTGAAAAAATGACATCCATTCTCTCAAATGCATTGGACAAGGTTCAACACTGGCTGAACAACATTTGCTTACAGTTAAATTAAAAAAACAGTATGCATGATGTTCAGTAAACGAACAGTCAAAATCGAAGGTTGTTTTTAAATGGAGCAGAAATAGAACTAGTCTCCCACTTCAAGTATCTTGGAGTCATATTGGAA